TCCCCCCGGGCAGCTTGACCCTCTCCCGCCGTCACAGCCCCAGTGGGACTGGGAGCACCTGCCTTCTTCTCCAGTGCCCATGGACATGGAGCTGTCTTCTCCACCACAGTCGCCCGCACCTGCTGACCAGGCCTATCCCACCCCTTCGCAGGCCTATATCCCTCCAGCCCACTCTGAACCCTATATCCCTCTGGCCCAGCCACCACCTTCCCAGTCCTCTCCGTCCCAGTCTTATTTGTCCCATTCTCAGCTTTCTCAGCCACCCCCGCCATCCTTTTTGGAGCCCCCTCCATCAGTCCCTCCGGTCTATTTCCCCCCTTCCCAATCCTATCTGACACATTCTCAGTCTTACTTGTCTCCTTCCCAATCGTCCACTTCCCAACCAGTGCAATCTAGTTTGACCCCATCCATTTCCAAGTCTAAAACTCACTTTACTGCATCCCAGTCGTCCTTACCTCCTGCCACTCCTGCCCAGCAAGAAACAGTGCAGAGCGCTGCCAAGGATACTGGTGATAATTCTGATCAGCACAGCACTCAACAACCAGACCCATCCACTATGACCCCTCAGGTAAGAGCTAAGTGCCCAACGTGAGCATTGCCGCAGAATGTGGCTGCAGATTGGAAAAAGATGGGAACAGATAATTTATGGATATATGGTGAGTTGTAAAGATGCTCAACTAAAGACAGATAAAATAGAGATACCATAAATGAATTATGTTTAAATTAAACAAAATATTTGATTTCAGTTCACAAAAGCCAGGAACGATACAAATAAGATTAAAATCTCATAAAACTTCCACTGAATGTATGTTTTGTGTCCTGTAGGTGTTGTGGTTCAAGAGCCAGCAGATCCCAACCACAATGGGATGTATAAAGAATAAAATTTCAGCCTTGACTGAACCTTATCTGATTGGTGGATTTTTCAGAATTTCAAAGTTGTGATCTTGCAAATTGTGTTGTGCAGATGAACTACATGGAACTCCACTGAATGAATACTTTGGGCATTCCATATTGATGCAGCAGTCTGCAGGCACATTGCAGGATTGTTTCCTAATTAGTTTAATTTTTTTCAGTTTACCAGCAGAAAAGATATAACAGTACCACAGTTGTTGCTTGGCCACACCTGCAGTAGTTAAGGTTACGAAAGTACTTCTGTTAAAGGCCCTAGATGCCTTATTTGTACAGTTTTCAGAATTTGGCCTAAATGTGTTCCGGCTTGATCTTTTCCTAAAGGTGAACTTTTATGAAACACTTGAGGAAAGTCTTTTCAAAAGTTTTTGAAGAATATACTTTTTATTGTTAAAAACATTTATGTCTGTAGGTGGGCAGTCAGGCCCCAAATCTGTAAAAGTTCACATTTCTGAAGCAGAAGCCACTATAGCAAACTAGCCACATTCAATCGGCCAAATAGCCACATGTGGCTGGTGGCTAGCATGTTAGACACCATGGAGTTAAAGATTATTCACTTGCATAATTTTGAAAATGCACATCATAACGTGCCTGGAGCCTTAGATTGTATGTACAGTTGATTAAGCTCTGTATGAGCCCAAGGGTCAGCCTGCACAGATCCAGTTGTAGATCAGGGGCTAAGTGCACTTCTTAAAAAAACTTGCTGACTTAGTTTTATAATTTAAAATTAACAAGGGGTTGGGTTTTTTTTTAATTTGACTCTTGTGTTCAGAGTTAAAGCCAAATTGGTGGGGAGGGATGTTAATCTTTGTCTTTGAGGGATGTGAATGTTAAACCAGTTAACTAATAAGCCTCAGCGGGTGAGGTTTACCAGAGATGGTTAACTGGTGAGAACTAGAGCAGCTCTCCTGCCATGCTGCTTTAGCCCAACAGAGAGCCTGCAGTGGACAGGGACTGCTCTGCCTGGACAGGCATCCCGACCAGAGCAGCTTCTGTCTGTGGCAGGCCTGGATGCCCTGCAGGCAGGGACTGCTCCAGCTGGGATGCTGGAGCAGCTCTTGCTTGTGGGGTGCCCTAGTCAGTGCAGCCTCTGCCTGCGGCATGGGGGGGCTGCATCAGCCCAGTAGCGAGCAAGGGGGTCCACTCCAGTTGTGCTGGAGCCGTACTCCTCTTGTTCACCCCTTTCCCTTTAATCGGTTAACTGGTTAAACAATATATTTAATCGATCAACCAATTAAATGGGATTTTGCATTCCTAGTTAAGTTACATGTGTAAATTAATTATTTTATTATTATTTATTATTTATTAATCCTTGGGATCATTTTTAATTGGCATACATTTAAAGCATATATTTGCACTTGCATAGCTATTAAAAATTTGTACTTTCCTAACAGACATTAGTTAACCTCTTGTGTGGTGGTGGTCATTGAGTCTACGAACTGCAATTTTATAATGGGATTGGTAGACACTACTGGTTGAACCTTTCTAGTCTGGTACCTTTGTACTAGGGATGTTAAAATGCTGGAAAAATTTCAGCAGTAATGCAGTACAAGCGGGGTGGTAGTCAACTCCCCGGGAGCTGGCATATGTGGGGAGTCAGCTTTTAAGCCAGCTCCCCGTACGTACTCTATTTTGGAGGCAGCAGTGCAAAGCAGCAGGTGGCTCCCTGGGAGCTGGTGTGTGCTAGGAGCCAGCTTTTAGGCCAGCTTCCTGTGAATACCGGGAGCATGCATGTGACTGTGAATGTTATCAGATGTCCACTTATCATGGATATGGCCAAGTTTCCCATGGTCCCATAAAGTTTGGGACCTGAGCTCCCCATGAACAGAGGCTGCTGGGGGGAGCGGAGGGGAGGCTGCCCTGAAGCATCCTCTCTCCGCAGCAAGCCTAGGCCCACTGTGTGTGGAAGGTGCTTTGCAGCAGCCTCCTCTACTCGCACCCCATGTTGCTTCCTCTGATACAGGCATCAGCGCCGGGGTGGGGGAGCGGCGGGGGGACTGGCTTTTAAGCCGGCTCCTTCCAGCGCGGGCTTCTGCTTCCTCCCCTTGCTGCCTCTGATACAGAAGCTGCAAGGGGGGTGGGAATGCAAGTAGTTAAGATTAACCAATAAGACTAGGCTTATTGGTTAATTGTATACTACTCACTTACGTCCCTATTTCACACATTCACTTTTTTCAATCAGATTTGGGACATAAAGTAGTTTGAAAGGAATGATTAAATTCAGCTTAGTGCTGTTCTGCATGCATCTTTAAAAGCAGCTCCTAATGTAACAAGGAGCTGAGGGCTGCTGGCAGATCCCATACTGTATTGATGTTTGTCTTCCACTCATAGCCATGAGATCTTTTCTGTCATATTTTGATCTGAATCCTGATTATGAAAGTTAAGGTCAGTTGTAGGATCTAGAATGGTACCATTGTCTATCATAGACATAAGACCCAAAATGTCATTTGAGAAGCAATTTTCTGAATAGACCTGCTCTTTAAATACACACCTCACTATTAGAAATAAACCCTTCTAATTCAAGCATAAGGTATGTGAGTAGAGGAAGTTTGTATTGTACATATTTATTTTTTACCTATTTTGAAGATGAATTGGAGACTTTAGGTTTGAGGAATCTCATCGAGCACTATTCCCCAATGCTGAATTTATACCTTCAATTTAAAATAAACTGTCACTCCTGTTGGCTTCTCTGCTGTTCTTGTGTTGGCTATTCAGAAGTGGCTCTTCTTGACAGTAATGAACAAGGAAAGATGTGAAAGATGAGGGATAGTCACAGATTCTTAGAAGGCGAGAAATTGCTAATTGAGTTTGTGCTTTCATAGGCTGCACCATTCCATGATCTTTAGGTTAAGCTTTTTCCGTATCCTCCTTTTATGGCTGTCAAATACAGCCCTGTATGTTCCCTGTATGTTGCTAGCATTCTCATAAAAGCTATATACATTCTTTAGATGATTGGGACTTTAGTACACATTCAGTAAACATTTTTTAGTAAATATTCAGAATTTTGAGTCCATAAAGTTAGAATTTAGTTCCTTTTGTATCTTATTTTAAATCTGAGTTCATAGCATTTCATTAAGTTTTTAGTTTGCATGTAGATTATAGAACCATAATCTGTAGGAAATCTTCCAGCTTCATCCTTGATATTTGGGGCAGGGCAGTACAGATCCTGATAAAGTGTAATTATTGAGCTATCTACGATTTTGAAAATCTATAAAAACATTTGAGAGCTGAGCTGTTTCTTGTTATTGTTTTAGCCTGGGGGAGATGTATGCCAATGGGTTACAAAACCTAGAAAAAGGGATTTACAATGGATAATATACAGGCAGTCCCCGAGTTACGCGGATCCGACTTATGTCGGATCCGTACTTACGAACGGGGCTTTTCTCACCCCGGAGGATGCGGGCGGCGGGATCGCCCAGACGCGCCGCGGTCCCGCCCCCCGCGTCCTCCGGGGCGAGAAAAGCGGCTCCGCGT